ATTTTTTTTCACCTTTAAGATTAAACTTAGCTTTTCAGGACGAGTTATTCTTGATTTCTAGTTTTCTTCTGCTTTTTGGAATATTATATTCCAGGACGTCCTTGCATTTATGGTAAAAGCTGCTGGGTCTGGAATCATCTTGACTGTAGTTCCTTGGGATACGAATGACTTCTTTCCAGATTTTTGCAGTCTTTTTTCTTTGATGTAAGGACTTTTGGATTTGGGTTACAACATTCCTGGAACTTTTGCTTTTGGTGGATTCTTTCTATCTATAATACGCCTTCTTTTTTTTTAATAGATGAGAGAACTAATAGATCAAACAGGCAGTTTTCATTTATAAATTGATTCGTTTATGAATTACCTCTCCTTGATGTGTTTTCCAGGTTAGTTGTTTTTTATAACAGATATCTTACATTTTCTTCTATTTTTAAAATCTTTTCATTTTGATATAATCTGTTTCCTAGAGTCATTGATTTCTGTTAGGTCTATTCTAGTTTTCATCTCTTTTATTTCAGTCTATTTCTTGTGTCAGATTTTCTGCTTTCTGTTCTAAGCTACTTTTTCTTTCAATTCTTTCTCCGAACACTCTAATTTCATTTTGTATTTCATTTTATTTACTCTCAGTATTCATGTCAGCACTGTAAAAACCCATTTTTTCTTTTTGAGTCTCTGCTTTCAGTTTTATGAAGTCACTCCTTTTGGGGTGGATCTCTAGATCTAAAATACTTTTTTGAAAAGTTTTTATTTATTTATTTTTAGTTTTCAACAATCACTTCCATATTTGCTTTGTTGTTGGGTTTTTTTAAAGTGAGGCAATTGGGGTTAAGGGACAGAGTCACAGAGCTAGTGAGTATTATGTGTCTCATGCCAGATTTGAACTCAGGTCCTCCTGACTCTAGGGCTGGTGCTCTATCCACTGTGCCACCTAGCTGCCCCCCATAAGCTTTTAGTTTTAAATTTTCTCCCCCTCCCTCCCCGCCTTCCTCCCCAAGACAGCATAGAATCAAATACAGGCTGTACATATACATTCTTATTAAACATATTTTCACATTAGTCATGTTGTAAAGAAGAATTAGAACCAATAGGAGGAACCACAAGAAAGAATAAACAAAACAAAACAGAAGGAAAAAAAGGGCAAATAGTATGTTTCGATCTGCATTCAAGCTCTATAGTTCTTCCTCTGGATGCGGATAGCATTTTCCATCATGAGGCCTTTGGAGAGGTCATAGATTCTTGCATTACTGACAAGGGCTAAGTGCTGTGCACAATGTTCTTCTGGTTCTGCTCTCTTCACGCAGCATCAGTCCATACAAGTCTTTCCAGGTGATCCAGGTGATATATATATATGTGTGTGTATATACGTATATATATATATATATATATATATACATATATATATATATATATACATATATATATATATATATATATATATATTTAGGCCAATGTTTTCTTTGCTTCTCCTCTCTCTGGTGCTAATTCCTGGGTGAGGCTTTTGTCCAGGGCCAGGCTCCATCCCCTGCTGGGCTTTTTGGGGGGTTGCTCAGCCTTAGATGGTTCCCAGGTTCCAGGGCTGACCTTCTATCTCCTGGATCTTCAAGGCCCTCTCTGGCATCCCAGCACAATGTTAGGCATCTTAGAGCCCCAGGCTTGAGGTGTCCCCATCTGAATGCTATAGCACCATGCTGGCTGCTGCCTCCTTCTGATTCCCTGGGCTTCCAAAGTCCTTACTCTTGGACTTTCTTTGGGGAGTCTTCTGTCCTCACTGCCCTCAAACACAAAACTTCACAGGCTGCATGTGTTTCTGAACCATCTCTCATTACACTGGGAAGATACCCAGAGGCTGGTGGTTTGGAAGATAGAGTGCCGGGCCTGGAATCAGAAAGACCTGCATGCTAGCTGGGTAACCATGGGTAAGTCATTTCTGTCTGTCTCAGTTTCCTCAGCTACAAAATGGAGATACCATCACAGCTCCCAGGGTGGTTGTGAGGATCAAATGAGATATTTATAAAGCACTTAGTACTGTCTGGCTCATAGTAGGCACTTTACAGGTCCTTATTGCCTTCCCTGCTCAACATTGACCTTGACTCAGTGTGGTGTCTGGCTCATAGGAGGCACTTTACAGGTCCTTATTCCCCTCCCTACTCAACACTGACCTTGACTCAGTGTGGTGTCTGGCTCACAGCAGGCAGCCATCATACCCAGAGCTAACTTTCTCTAGCATCTGCCTCTGCAAGAGAATGTCAGAGTCTTTGCTGAAATCCTGGCAGAATGAATCCCCAGCATCTTCCTGCTGTGCTACCAGTCTGGTAAGCTTGTCCCAAAGGAAATGTGGTTCCTCCGGCAGGACCTGTTCTTGCCAAAGCCTGCTGCTGCCACCTGCCTCCCTATCAGTCACCTCTGCCCTTTCCAAATGTCACAAACCAGCCCTTTCCGGACATCCTAGCACAGAGTTGGGGAGTGGGTCTTTTCTGACACCAAGTCTGCTCAGGTTGTCTGTAATCTAGCCCGATTACTGCTGCTGCGTAGCTGCTCTGCAGGGATGTCCCAGCTCCTGCCACTTAGTGCTACCTGCCCCTTCCCACCCTGCACCTTCATCTCCCCTTCTGTGTCTCATCTGCCCCTGTGGCCCTGAGCTCCTGCTGCCCAGCCAGAGGCTGAGAGGGTGTGAGGGGTTCTGAGTAGGTCTCCAGGGAAGGTCCCCAATACCCTCCCTCCCCTCACTCAGCCCTAGGCCCCAGGTTTCCTGGATTCCCTGGGTGGAAGGAGACCCAACCCAGTGCCTGCAGGATCCACCCAATGGAGGTTGGCAAGATGCAGGGCCCGCTGGTGCCAGGCTGTGGTTCTCCCAGAGAGCTACAGCTTCGTACAAACTTGTCTCCAAGACTTTTTTCCACCAGAAATACAGTCTCTGATGGAAGCAACTGGTTGGATCAGCAAGAAAGGGGAAGGCAAAGGGCGTTGCCCCAACAGCTGGATCCACCTGGTCCCACCCCGGTCCCCCCACAGTCCAAGCAGCGAGACAGACCTGGATCTCAGGCTGGAGGCAGTCCCGGAGAGGAGCTGAAGAACCCTGATTCTCTCCGCCCCAGGATGGACAAAGAGATGAGCAGATTTCACAAGATAGACAATGTAGGTCCCTGCCTCCTACAACCTGCTGCTGATGTCCCCCCCCCGCTGACCCCATCTTTCCCCCCATTCTACTCTAGCTTAAGGTGGGGGCTGTATCAGAGCTGGGGGTGGGGCAGGTCATCTCTCAAGCCAGGGAGGGTCAGTCTGTGCCCAGGGTCATTGGCAGAGAGCCTGGCCGTAGGACCACAGGTTCGGGAGGGGAGTGACTGACAGAGATGGGGTGTTTTCTATAGTGGAAGGTGCTCTCTGAAACTCTTATTGCCTAGCTAGGCAGCCACGCAAGCCAAGGCCATCCCAGGGGTGCCTGAGCTGTGGCTGGAAGAGTCTCTGGTGATGGGGAGGGAAGAATGAACAGGCCACACAGTCCTGCAGGGACACCTGTGGGACCTGAAGTCAGGGAGCCTGCTGTGGGGGGCCAGCTCCCCTCGTCTCTGAGTCTCACACTGGGGCAGTTTCACACTCAAGTTCCTTCCAGCTCTCCTCATGTCTACTCTAGAAGGGAGGTCCAGAAGGTAGTGTTGATCCCTTTTGACAGATAAGGAAACTGAGGCTGAGAAATGAAGCTAGTTAGTACCTGAGCCTGACAGCTGTGGCCTTCTTGGATTGACTGAGCCTCAGAGTATAGACCAATCTAGACTTCTGGGTTCTCAGGGAATAGCCAGGAAGGCATGACCCCCCAAATGGGAAGGGGCAGCCCTGGTATATTTTGGGTGCCTGAAATGCTAAGTCCTAAAGGCCTGGGTTCTGCCTGCCCCACCCCTGCTAGTGTGGACTTGTGTTCTGCTGTTCCCCCTGAGTCACCAACCTGCTCCTCCCATCCTATGCCCACGTCACATGCGGGAGCAGCAACAGCACTGGCACTAGCCCAGTTTGGGGGTGGGGCATAGGTCTGAGGGAGAGGCCTCTTGGATCAAAATTCCAGAGCCCCCCAAGCTTGCCCAGACCTGTCTCTCTCTTTCTCTCTCTCTCCCCCTCATACACACATACCCCTGAGCCAAGAGTAGCTGAGCTGAGGACTAAGCCTGGACTTTAGGAGGGAACATGCTCCCCGCCTCCCCCTGGACCTGGGGTGTCTAAGATGGATGCCCCAAGCAGCAGCCAGCTCCCAAGGAGGACCTTGGAGGAGGGTGTCTGAATAACTAAAAAGCGCCCCAAATTGGTAGACTAGATGGGGACTATAAGAGAGAAAAGGGGAGGATAATTGATGAGAATAAGGGACAAAATGAACCCTAAGCCCCAGCTTTATCACAGCCCCAATCCCCACCCTAGGTCCCTTGCTTAACCCAGTCCCCCAGAAGGCTCCAACCTAACCTTAGCCCACCCATCCTGTCCTCTGTGCATGAAGAGTTTTTGGACACTCAGCTCCATCTCCTGGCCTGGCCCAGCATCCCATGGAGCCCACCATTTCACAGAGTGCCCAGAGGGGCAAGGAGGTGACTGACCTCCATAGACTTGGACTCAGACCCATCTCCTGCCCAGCTGAGGCCTGGCTGGAGAGATGCCAGGCTAGATTGGGCCCACAGCTGAGCCCTCAGGAAAGCGTTGAGTAAATAGGGAGGTAGCAGGCCAGCCTCAGTCAGCACCCTTCCCACCACCCTCCAGAGAGACTATAATCACTGGGTACCTCCCATCCTGTCCTGTCCGGTCCCAACAACTTCCCAGCCCAGCTCCTGCCCTGGGACCTCCCCAGCCTCCATTCCCTCCCAGCCCTTCCCCACAGCCTTCCGGGATGGAGGGTAGAGGCGGGTGGAGGCTGAGAGGCAGGGCCCCTGGGGCCTGGGGGCTAGGCAGGGCCTATTCCTCCACCAGGAATTCCACCTTAAGGAGGCAGGTGGCTCCTCCCTCCCTGGCCTTCCCCCAGGTGTCCCCACCCCCAGGTGAGCTCAGGCCTGGGCGGTGTCGGCTGTCTCTCCCTGGGCGCGGCTGGCTGGCTGGCAGGGACAGCTAGGAACCGAGCCGACTGACCCACTGGCCCAGGACCTGGTGGAGGGCCATGCAGGGCAGGGTGGTCCGGCCAGAGACAGAGCCCTGTTGAGCCCCCAGCCCCAGCCCCAGTCTGAGGCCCAGGCTGCTCCTGCCACCATGCAGGACAGTAATTTCCTGCTTTCTGCCCTGCAGCCTGAGGCCGGGGTCTGCTCCCTAGCCCTGCCCTCCGACCTGCAGCTGGACCAGAAGAACAAAGAGGCTCTGGAGGCAGAGCGCGAACGGCTGAAGGTGGCCCGGGTGCAGGAACAGGTCCGCGCCAGGATGCTCCAGCTGGGTCAGCCTTCGAGGGTCAATGGCTCCCTGGCCGGCGCCCTGATGGATTCTGCAACCAGCACAGGCCTAGACAACTCCAGAGGTATCTGCTGCCCAGGAGGAGGAAGACAGGGACACCAGGGACCCAAGTTGGGCCATTGGGCCAGGTCTGAGGGGCTGTAGGGAGGAGGAGGGGGAGCCACAGGCCTCCAGTCACAAGAAAGGCAGGGGGATTGCTGTTCTAGGGTGAAGGAGGGCAGGCCAGCAGGAAGCCAGAGGTTGTGCCCAGACTCCAGGCTAGTTCTCTGACTCACTGGGAAGCCTTGGATTGACTTAGTCTGGGGATGAGCCCCTGGCCCCACGGTGGGGGGGAGGGGATGGAAATAAGCTCCTCAAGAGTCCCTGGGCTACTTCTTGCTAAAGTCCTGTCCCTAAGATACACAGGAGGCTCCAGCCCGGGTGTCTGCTTGGGACAGTGTTAGCGCTAAGTCTTGGGGAGGAAAGGAGGCCAGAAGTGGGTTTCCTCAAAGCAGTGTGGGTTGCCCCAGTGGAATCCCCAGTCGAACTCTAGTCTGGGATAATTATGGATAGGGTGAAACCTCTGGGAGAGGTCGACTTCCTCTCGAGCTCTCTAAGCCAAGCTGCGGTTCCCCCCAGTTTCTGATCTCACCTGCCCCCTTCACTGTTCCCCTGGGGCATGAAGGGACTCAGAGGCACACCCAGAGACAGGTCACGAAGCCCCAGCCCCCCAAGACCCCTCCCAGGGGTTAGGGGAGCCACCCCATCAGGGATCTTTGTCCCTCGGGCAATCCATAGAACCTTATCTGGGGAAGGGAGGGTTCCAGGTGACATGCCTCTACTAGAGAAGCCTGCATACTGGCCAGAGGCTGAAAGCCAGAGGGATGGACAGTGAGACCTGTCAGGATGCTGGAAAACAAGGGCATGAGGCAGAGAGGGCCTCAAGCCTCCAGGGTCCTCCTCCTGCTCCAAAGCTGTGGCCTCCTCTCTCAGCCTCAGCTTTCTCAGCCACAGAATGGAAGTTCACCACTTGAGGGGTGGGGCAGGGGGTGGGCAGGAAGGAGGCAGCCAAATATGGGCACTAATTACAGTTTGCAAAATGCATCAGAGATGGCCACCCATGGCCAGCCCTGACAATTAGGAGGATGATTATAATTTGGGGGGATGGGGTGTGTGGGGAGCCCAAAGAGGGGGGTGTGTCCCCCCCTGGCGGAGCCTCCCTGGCGTCAAGGGGTTAATCTCCCCACCCATGAAGCCTCATTAAACTGGGCTGGTAGGGGGGCCTAGGGGATGGGAAGGCCTGTGTGGGTGACGAAGGGGTATGTGTTTGCCCCTGGGGTGGTTGCTCTGTCTCTGACCCTATACGGGGGAGGGGGAAAGTCAAAGGCATCAGAAGAGCTGGCTAGAGGGGATCCCCCAATGAGGAAGCTCCCCCAATGTCCTGGGCCTTCTTGGGGACTCCAGTGACTCCTCCTCTTTGCCAGTTAGGATAGCGACCAGCCAGTCCAACTCCCATCCGAGCCCCCTTCAATGCTGCAGCCTTGTCTCTCCTGGGGCCTTAGCCCCCTAGATGGAATAGCTGAGGAAGCAGTCCTTTGCAGCACCTGCACCTTGCTCTCACCCACCAGGCCCTCACCAGGGATGCAAAGGGCCTTCTCAAGGTCTGAACCTGCCCCCCTCCACCTACTCCAGCCTCTCTGCACTAGTGCATTGTCTGGGTCCAGGCCAGAGCACCTACCACTGCCCTTTCCTACCTGGTCCCACTGTCTCACCCACTAACCTGTCCTCCCATAGTCACCTCGCCTGCCCCTCCCCAACCCACCGCTTCATAGCATATAGTAAGCCCTGGTGCAATGCTTATCACTTCCATCCCATTAGACTCATCAAGCCTTTGTTAGGCGTGTGCCATGTGCCCCCTGGAACCTGGAGGGGAGAACAGGAAGGGGACACAGGGCAGAGAGGAAAGGGCTAGGAGAGGGATCTGACAAGGAGCTTCCAGAACTCTGAGGGAAGACCAGGGGAGGGGCAGAACCCCAGCTCCTCAGACTTGGACAAAGTTATTCCTAGAATTAAACGTGCTGAATAAATGCTCTCTTCTGTCAGGCAGGCTTTCACGGATGGCTGTTTCCTAAATGCTCTGGGGGGTCTCAGTGCTCTGGGCTAGGTGTACAGCAGCTAAGGTAAAACTTCTGAAACAGACGGCCTTGCATCTACTCCTGCATATTCCACCTTCCTCTCATTCTGGCCACCCTCTCCCCATCTCATCTACTCCCAGAATTCCAGAATCTGGAAGGGACCTCAGGAGCACTGTGCCAAGCCCAGACCTGAATAGAAATCTCTGACCATTGGGCATCTGAGTGCTCCAAGGAAGTGGTCCCCTTCACTTAGGGACAGCTCTCATGGGTAGGAAATGTCTCTCCAGATCAAACCCAAATCTGCCATGGCTCTCCCCTCCAAATGTCCCCAAGGACATGGACTCAGCCCCTCACCATCTCAGTGGCTCTCCTCTGGACATACTCCAATGTCAATGACCTTCCTAAAATGTGTCCCTCAGAACAGAACACAGTCCTCTGGGAAAGGTCTGGCTAGAGCAGGGGACGGTGGGCCTTCTGCCTCCTTGTTCCCTTCTTCACGGGGAAGGACTCATGGTGAACCTGTGGGCCACAAAGCCCCCTCAGATCTCTTTCAGACAAACTGCTGCCTAATCTTGCTTCCTCATCTTAGACTTAGGCGGTTTACTTTGTGGAGCTAAGGGTGAAACTTTTCATTTTCCTCTCTTCAATCTGTTGCATGAGATTTAGAACTAGCTGCCCAGATCTTACTCTATTGCCTCTTCATTACATTCCTCCCAGCTTTGTGTGATTTGCACATTGGATGAACCTGCCTTCTATGCATTTCTCCAAGCCATTGACAAAAAGGTTAACCAGTCCAGGACTCAAAACAGCTCCTTGGGGTCCTCCACTAGAGACCTCAGGTCACATTGCCATTGAACCATTGACTTCTCTGAGTCCAGTCAGTATAGCCATTCTAAATCTACTGATTTGTACTATCTTTGTATCTATCCTTCCAGAAGAATAGTAAGAGACTCTTTGTCAAAAACTTGAGCCTTCAATCTAGGTAAACTCTACCAACAGCACTCCCCTTGTCTACTGGCCAAAAAGGAAATGAGCTCAGTGTGATGTAACCTGTACTTGCTGAAGCCAGGCTAGCTCTTGATTGATTCTTTCTCTGCTTCCCAACTATCCCTTTAAGAATCTTTTGAGGATCTTTCCTGGAATCCCAGCCCACTTAGCTCCCAGTTAGTTTGCAGACTGTCCTCTTCCTTTTTTTTTAAATGAACCAACAGTCATCCTTCTCCAGTCTTGCACCCCTCCTCCCATTTCCCACGATCTTTCAAATGTCACTGACAGTGGCTCTATGCTCATATCAGCCAGTTCTTTCTGGAGCTAAGGATGTCCCTCATTTCAGTAGGGAACTTGAATTCATCAAGGGCAGGGCAAGGCTCTCTGTCTCCCTACTAATCTCAGGGAGCAGCCCCCTATCAGTGTTTTTGTTCTGTTATTCCCAGTGCAAAGATCTTCCATTCTTCTCATCTGAGGAAACAGAAACAACCCTGCTTTGAGCCTCTTCACCATCACTCTCATGTCTGCCCCATCCGCCCTAAGCAAAGGTCCCATCCTTTCTTTGCCCCTCCTTCCTCTCCCAAGAGAGCTGTAAGACAAACCAGGCTGTTCCTTGCTGTGGGCCTCTGGCAGCAGCTGCAGCTCACTTCTTGTGCCATTTGCACTGGCCCATGCCCTGCTCATCTGGTTGTCCTTTGTGATCCACCCTCGCTGCCCTCTTCTGCACAGAATCAAAGTGGGTCCGTGAGCACCTCATGCGAACGCCTCTTCAGGAAACTCCCACGTTTCTTCCCCGGTGGAATGATTCCCCTTGGTGCCTTCAGAATGTCATTCTTGCTTACTTCTCCCTCTAGTGATACTCTCCAGTGCAGTGCCTGGCACATGGTGTCTGATGAGTGACTGCTGGCCATCTCTAGCTTGTTTGAACACATTGGCTTGCTTGTCGTCTCCTCCATTAGACCGGGAGCTCCATGAGGACGGACACCATCCTTGCCTTTCCTTGTGTCCCCAGTACCTAGCACAGTGCCTAGCCCAAACTAGATGGTTAGGAAATGCTGACTGACTGATTCACCAATTCCTGATTTGATTTCCCCTGATGCCTTTAATCCCTGGGATCCTGTCCAGTCTTCCTCTGGGACCTCTGAGATCTGTACTCTCAAAAATCGGGGGCTGCCTCTCTCTGCATCATTGTCTCTAGGAAGAGTGGGCACTCTCTTCACAGCATTCTGACTTGCCTCAGCTAGTGTCTCAATTTAGCCTTCAAGAGGATGCCTTCCCTTGGCTTCATCCACTTTTGGAAGGGTGGAAGGCAAGGCTTTGGGTAAAAGTGGCACCAATGGTAGGCTCTGAAGGAGCTTTTAAGAGCAGGGATTGATGGGGGGGGATGCATCCCAGGGAGGGGGACCGCCTCAGAGAAGCAACAGACATCAACACAAGAGGGAAGGTTCACAGGCTCTGGAGTCAGGCTGAGGATCCGGGTCTGAATCCCGCCTCCGACATTTGCTGCCTATGCCACCTTGAGAAAATCACTTCGCCTCTCTCCATCTCAGTTTTGTCGTGTGTAAACAGCAGGTCTAGACTACGTGGACTTGGTGCTTCCTTCCAGCTCTAGGCCTGTGATCCTGTCAATGGCCAGAAGTCTAGTCTGGCTGGGAAATGGTATGTTAGGAGAGCAATGTGAAATAATCCAGGAGAAGGCGGCTAGAGCCAGGGGGTAGGGGACTTTGAATGGCAGGCTGGGAAGTCTGTGTTTTTCTCAGAAGTATTGGTCTAAAGGGGGGCAGATGCTGAAGAATGTTGAGCATGATTGGACCTGCGCCTGAGGAAGGTTGTTGTGTCAGCTTGTGCAGGATGGATTGAAGAGGGGAAAAACAAGAGGAGGAAAGCCACTTTGGAAGCTAGTCTAGGTGGGAGGTGATGAGAACCACAGGAGTGGAGAGAAACGGATGGATAGCATGGTTCTGTAAACAGAACCAACAAGACTTGGCAACTGATGAGATTTGAGGGGTGAGGGAAAGGAAAGAAGGGAGATGATCCAAAGGTGACAGCCCTAGGGGACTGGAAGGAAGAACAGTGGGCTTACAGAGAAAAAAATTAATGGACGTGTTGGATTAGAGATTATCACCAGGCTCCTGGGTGGTAGGTTGAGTTGGAAGGGCTGAGGAGAAGACAGACACAGCAAGGTGATATGATTTCCTCTGGGTTGCTCTGATAGGAAATATCAGAGATAGGATTAGAACCCCAGAGTCAGGGCTGTTTCCAGTGAATCACCAAGATGGAGAAGTCCCATCAGGCAGAGTTCAGGAGAAACAGTGGGTCTTGGTGTATAGATTTGTGAGTTACATGATAACTGGAGCCACAGGAGCAAATGGGCTCATTAAGACAGTGAGTGGGGCAGCTAGGTGGTACAGTGGATAGAGCACCAGCCCTGATGTCAGGAAGACCTGAGTTCAAATCCAGCCTCAGACCAAACACTTGACACTTACTAGCTGTGTGACCCTGGGCAAGTCACTTAACCCCAATTGCCTTTAAAAAAAAAGAGTGAGTGAAGAGAAGAGAAGGCTCAGGATGGAACCTTGGGGGACACCCATGGGACTAGGGGCAAGAGACACAAGATAATCCAGGAGGCCCCAGATCCAGAACCAGGAAAGAGCAGAGTCCCAGAGACCCAGGGGAGACCAACCCCCGGGGAGGAAGGCAGCCACAGCATCCCATGCCACAGAGAGGTTCAGAGTCTGCGAGGAGCCAAAGAGTGAGTGGATGGCGGAGAAGGGGAGGCAATGGACTTGGCAGTTCTTGGCAAAGGGAAGTAGGGTCTGGACTGAAGCCTGGGGGCAGGGGATGGGAGGCTCACGGAGAGAGAGAGGATGGGTTGGCTGCAGCGTGGCCTCGGAGACATGGACTGTGGCTTCCATTCTCCCAGCAAGGTGGCAGACGAGGTCCTCTGCTGGGGGAAGGGAGAGGATTGTCCAGGGGGTGTCCAGACCGGAGGCGTTCAGCAGCACAGGAGGAGGTGGAAGAGAGGATGCAGACGGCTCAAAGGGTGAGCCAGGGGTGGAGTTTGGCCAGGCACTTAGGAATAGAAGATCTCATGCAGTTTGGTTGGCCAAGTCAAGGTCAAGACTGTTAAGGGAGCCAAGGAAGGGAGGCCCAGGGGAGAGGCAGCAGCAGCAGCAGTAGCAGCAGCATGGTGAAAGTAAGACCTGGGTTCTAGTCCTGCCTCTGTCAACACAGTGTGGTCTGGCAAGGAATGACCACGCTAAGACTCTGCGTTGCACATGAGATCACAGATGATAGTCTATGCTGGTGGACATAAGCCCCTGACAGGGTGTCCCTACGCTATTGAAATCACAGGCTTGGCCAAAAAAAGAAAGAGAGGATGGCTTGGCCAGATCCTTCAGTGACCGCGGGGTTAACCAGAGCAAAGGAGCTAATAAGAGCCTGTCTTTGTCTGACCAACCCCAACCCAGCCAGGAAACCTTGGGCAAAAGGGGGGGGGGCAAGAGAAGCCAAGGGAAAGTCAGGAGGACAGCAGGGAGGCAGCGGGGCTAGGGATAAAGGCTGGGGACATCCCTGCTCCGGGAGGCGGAGACAGCAGCTAGCTGCTTTTATATTCCAAATCTTGCTGAGTGGGCATTAGGGAGGGCAGAGAAGGGGCCATGAAAGAGAGTGTATATGTGCTGCCTTCCCCTCCCTGGACTCTCCAGGACCAGAGAGAGTGGACAAAGTTAAATGAGTGCAGAAAGATGGAGAGTGGGAGAAGGGGAGGTCGGGGATAAAGGGGAGTGTGTTAGTGATGCCAAGTATTCCAGAGGATACAGGGGAAGGAGATGCTACAGGAGGGAAGGGGATGACTGGGCAGACTATGACCCCAAGGAATTAGGGGAAGAGGAGCTGGGATGGACTCGGCAGCCACAGGATGGGAGAAGCACCAGGAAACCAGGGCTCTCACCCTCTAGGCTCTGGCAGGAAAGGACATTGGGCTGGTCAAAGTGTTGGTGGCAGTTCCTTTGCCTCTTGCCAAGCAGGCAGGGGATGCCATGTAGCCAGGAGGGCCCTGTCTATGGGCAGAGCCCATAAGAGTGAGACCCTGAGTGGGGCTGGGGCTTCAGTCCCATCCTCCCCAACCCAGGGACAGAGACTATATTCTCAGGTAGTCCAAGGATGCAAGGCTGAGGAGAAATCACCTCCATACGTGGTACCCAGCTACCCCCCTGCTCCTATTTGGTGACACACTCACAGGTGCCTACCATGTCCCTTTCTGAGAGCAGACACATCCCCCTGCCCTCAGGGATCCCATAGGGGTGTAGTTCTGAAAACCACACATGTAGGACAATCAGGACAAGGACTGTGATGATGAAGATATGAAGGTTATGTGGGTCAGGCTGGTCAGGCCTGAAGGCAGCAAGACCTTACTGGCAAAGGATGCTGACAGAAAGAAATCTGGGGCCTCAAGAAATAAGGGAGGCTAGATGTCAGCTGGGCCTTGAAAGATGGGCAGAAAGTAGACAAAGAACAAGTGGGAATGATGTCTTCAAGGGTCATGGAAGAGACCATCCTGGCTGGAGGGGACAGGGTCAATGTGGGAGAAGAGTGGAAGATATGACTGGCAAGGTGGGTTAGGGCCAGAGTGGCCTGAAATGCCAAGCTAAGGAGTTATTTTGCATCCTAGAGACACCAGGAGGCCGCTTAAGATTTTTGATCAAAGTGGTGCCATAGACAGCCATGGGCTCTAGGAAAGTCACCCCTGCTGAGCAGAAACTGGATTAGACAGGCAGCTAGGCGGCGAAGTGGATAGAGCACTATTCAAATCCAGCCTCAGACACATAACACTTACTAGTTGTGTGACCCTGAGCAAGTCACTTAACATCAATTGCCTCTCAAAAAAAAAAAAAAGGAGAGAGAGAGAAAATGGATTAGAAAGATGTGGAGAGACTTAAGACTAAGAAACCAGTTAGGGGCCCTTTACAGCAGCAACTATTTCATTTCTGCCTGCCGCATGGTAGGTGCTCAATGTCTGTTGACTAGCACAAATTGGGGTTGGAGGGCTGAATTCCAGGCAGATCTAAGGTGGGGGAGGGGGAACTCACCAGACAAAAGCCAGGGGAGGAGAGAGGAGCCCAGAGAAAAGGAGGATCTGTGATGTCAAAGGCACTGCAAGGTCGGGAAGGAAGAGGGGTGAGAAAAAGTCTGTGGGGGTCTCTCTAGCTAAGAACCAGAGAACCACAGGGTTGGAAGGTTGAACATCCTGTGCCCACCTTGCCTTGGCTTGAAGCCCATCTCCTCCACTAGGCAGCCCCTTCCTCGCTGGGAGCCTCTCTGTAACTTGCTGGTCCTGCCCCCTGGGGCCAGGCAGAGCAGGACAGAGCCCTCTTCCACCAGACAGCTCTTCAGTACAGATAGCTTTCCTGTTCCCTAGGAGACTTCCCTTCTCCAGACTGACCCCTCTTTTCTCCAGCCCATTCTCATGCAATTTGGGCTTCAGGCCTTCCCCCACCCCAGCTGCCTTCCTCAGACACTTTCCAGTTTATCAGTGTCCTTCTTGAATCATGGTACCCAGAACTCAACATAGTCCTCCAATCTCTGTCCCCTCCTGAGTCCTTCATAGGCAAGGACCTAAGGTCTGACTGGCCGAGAGATTAGGGCCCCTGGTGGGGGTGAAGGGGTGGGGAGGCGAGGTCTAGCCATGGAGGGGATCAGTCTGGTCACCTGGCTTTCTGTCCACTGACCGCCTGTCCCCCTCCCTACTCCCCAGGTGTCTCCAGGGGTCAATATCACACAATGCAGTCTGGTGCTGGCTTCAGCTCCCGCTCCCAGGGCATGAGCATGGACAAGGCCTCGGTGAGCCCTCCCCCATCCTCCCTCCTCAAGGCCTGGGGAGGCCATATTGTTCCCAACCCCTTGGACCCTAGGCCAGGCAGGGTGGGGGGAGGAAGCCTGGGTCGGAGACAGGGGGCTATCCACCCTCTACTCCTACCTTCCTCACCACCTTTTTCCCCGTCCCACAGACTTTCCGGCCCATCTCCAAGCCAGTATACGGGACAGCAGCCTGGTCCTCACGCTCTGCTGTGGACCTAAGCTATGGCCGGAGGTTGAGCTCTGTGCACAATGGAGGAGGCTCCTACGGGTCCACGGGCTATGCGGGGGCCCAGCCTGCAGTCCCAGCAGCACCCCGACCCGTCTCCTACCATGACCGTGGGGGCCCTAGCCCCAGGGCTGACTATGAAACGCTGAGCCTGCGTTCTCTGCGCCTGGTGGGGGGTCCCCCTGGAGGCCTGGATGACCGCTATAGTGTGGTGTCTGAGCAGCTTGAGCCTCCAGGAGGGGCTTCCTACAGGGCCTTCAGTTATGAGCGACAGGCGAGCTCAGCCTCCAGTCATGCAGGGGGACTGGACTGGCCTGAAGCTGCAGACGGAGCCCCTAGCCGGACCATCCGAGCACCAGCCATGCGGACCCTGCAGCGTTTCCAGAGCAGCCACCGAAGCCGGGGGACAGCCTCGATGGGAGCTGGTGGAGGCCTGGAGCATGTGGCCCGAGCCCCCTCAGTCCGCAGCCTCAGCCTCAGTCTGGCTGACTCTGGACATCTGCCTGATGTGCGAGGTCTAGACAGCTATGGGGGTCATCGTACTCTACAACGGCTCAGCAGTGGGTAAGCCCCGGGAGCAGGCGATGTGAGGAAATGAGGGGGGCTAGGAAACAAGGGTGGAGGAGTGAGGGGGGCTGGGGAGCAGGGGTGAGGGGTGGGGGAGAGGCTGGAGGGGGTGGGGAGCAGGGGCGAGGAGTGGGGGAGTGGACAGTCTGAGCTGACTCCCGCACACACACTACCTACCCTACAGCTTTGATGACATCGACCTTCCCTCTGCTGTCAAGTACCTTATGGCCTCAGACCCCAACCTGCAGGTTCTGGGAGCCGCCTACATCCAGCACAAGTGTTACAGTGACGCGGCGGCCAAGAAACAGGTGAGGGCGGAGCTGGGCGGGGGAGCCGGCCCTGCCTGCCGCTGCCTTCCGAGGAGCTGCCCGTCACCCATGACCCTGGTCCCCGTCCCCAGGCCCGCAGCCTACAGGCCGTGCCGAAGCTGGTGAAACTGTTCAACCACGCCAACCAGGAGGTGCAGAGGCACGCGACCGGGGCCACGCGGAACCTCATCTATGACAATGCGGACAACAAGCTGGCTCTGGTGGAGGAGAACGGGATCTTCGAGCTGCTGAGGACGCTGCGAGAACAGGACGATGAACTGCGCAAGAATGTCACGGGTCAGGCCGGGCCCCCCCATCCCCCCCATAGGGCCAGGCCAGACACGCCCAGATGCGCACACGCGTGTCTGAGCCGATTCACGGCCGTGGGGGAGGAGGGGGAGGAGCAGGAGAGGGGAGGGGGGCTGGAGTTTTCTCCTGCTCAAGCCCCTGATGAGGGAATCAGATTGTTTCCAGGGGGTGAAGACCCCGCCGCTAACCCCTGATCTCTGACTCTCAGGAATTCTGTGGAACCTGTCATCCAGTGACCACCTGAAGGACCGCCTGGCCCGAGACACCCTGGAGCAGCTGACCGACCTGGTGCTGAGCCCCCTCTCAGGCTCCGGGGGGCCTCCCCTCATCCAGCAGAATGCCTCTGAGGCCGAGATCTTCTACAATGCCACCGGCTTCCTCAGGTGCCCAGCCAGACCTCCCTGACCCAGCTGCATCTCCCGTGTGTCCTGGTGGCCTTGTCTCCAGTCTGGTCCTTGGAGGGGCCCGGGCCCAGCCTGAGGCAGCCTGGGGGGTCTTTGCGGGGCAGAACTCGTCAGCTCACCCCAATGCCTAAGCCCTACTGGGATTCGGGATGCCTCGTGAAAGAATCCCAAGCCGAGGGGGCAGCTAGCTGGCGCAGTGAATAGAGTACCAGCCCTAAAGTCAGGAGGACCTGAGTTCAAATCCGGCCTCAGACACATAACACTTACTAGCTGTGTGACCCTGGGCAAGTCACTTAACCCCGTAGCCTAGCCAAAAAAAAAAAAAAAGAATCCCAAGCCAAGCTCTCCTTCATCCAGAGGGGCCTATGGCCTCTGATCCTCCTACTTCTTTGTCAGAAACCTGAGCTCAGCCTCCCAGGCCACACGGCAGAGGATGCGAGAGTGCCATGGCCTAGTGGACGCCCTGGTCACCTACATCCACCATGCCCTGGACGTGGGCAAATGTGAGGACAAGGTCAGCAGGCCCTGAGCTAGGGAGGGTGGAGAAGACCGAGGGCATTTGCTTCCCTGCCCCCACCCAAGTCTGTCCTCTGGGGGGGGTCCACCTTCTGATCTGGGTCTTCTCCCCCCTCAACTCCCACTCTCTCCCCGGCTCCTTCCCCCACCCCAACAGTGGCTGTGACCACTGACCTGTCCCAATGCCCTCAGAGCGTGGAGAATGCAGTGTGTGTGCTCAGAAACCTCTCCTACCGCCTGTATGACGAGATGCCACCATCAGCACTACAGAGGCTGGAGGGCCGAGGACGCGGGGAAGCCGGGGCCGGGAGGCCCGGGGAGGTCGTGGGCTGCTTCACCCCCCAGAGCAGGAGGCTGCGAGAGGTAGGCGATGAGAAGCAGGGAGCCCTGAGAAAGGCAGCTGCTGCCCTGGGGGAGCTTAGAGGTTGGGGAGATGGGGTGCACTAAAGTTGATAGGGCAACCTATCAACCTCACAGTGCAAGCCTACAGGGCCCATCTTACAGAAGGATAAACTGAGGCTCAGAGAGGCAACACCAGGCTGCACAGGCTGGAAGAGGCAGTCCTGGATAATTTTGGAGAGAGATCTGAGGAGCGAGGACCTGGGGAGCCAGTAAGGCAGAGGGAGGAAGCTTGGGGTGGTCAGAGTGACCAAGAGCAGAGGGTGACCCTTGGAGCAAGGGTTTGGGGGAGCCATGGTGGGGATGGAAGGCTGGAAGTAAGGAGGGCTCCCCATCCTAAGATCCAAGGGAGGAGGGTAGGAAGGAAGCAGAGAAAGGGGTGCTCTCTGAGAGCTGGAACTGGGCCTGGGCCTCACATCCCCCTCTCCTTCCCCAGCTGCCCCTGGCGACAGATACATTGACCTTTGCTGAGGTCTCCAAGGATCCCAAGGGGCTCGAGTGGCTATGGAGTCCCCAGATTGTGGGTCTGTACAACCGACTTCTTCAACGGTGTGAGCTGAACAGGCACACAACGGAGGCTGCTGCTGGAGCCCTGCAGAACATCACCGCTGGGGACCGCAGGGTAAGGGCCCAGGGCCAGAGGGCCATGATTCAGTCCAGGGATATATAAAAACAAGGGAATTGCAGAGAGAGAGAGAGAGAGAGAGAGAGAGAGAGAGAGAGAGAGAGAGAGAGAGAGAGAGAGAGAGAGAGAGAGAGAGAGAGAGGGAGAGAGAGAGAGAGAGAGAGAGAGAGAGAGAGAGAGAGAGAGAGAGAGAGAGAAAGGGGATGAAAACACTAGGGAGCCGTGGGTGACCCCTGGTGGAAAGTCCAGGGGCTGCAGGACATCCCATCCTGGTGAGGAACTGATTTGGAAGATCTGGGGGGCAGAGAAACTTTGGGAACTCCCAGGCCCCTCAACCCTTCCTTGCCCCACAGTGGGCAGGTGTGCTGAGCCGCCTAGCCCTGGAGCAGGAACGCATCTTGAACCCCTTGTTGGACCGAGTTCGGACAGCTGACCATCACCAGCTGCGCTCACTCACTGGCCTCATCCGGAATCTGTCACGGAATGCCCGGAACAAGGATGAGATGTGTGAGTCTCCCTCAAGGTCCAGGGGTAATGATTCCCTCATCCCCTGTGTCCCAGCTGGCCCATGGCCTGATACTGCTGCTGTTGTCCTGGCTGATGGGCCAGAGGGGAGGAAATGGGGTCACTGGGGGAGTGGGGAGGAATGCTCATGCAACCCCAGCTCCAAGAAAAGGAGAGGTTTGGGGGAGCTGTCTGACACCCTCTGACTTCTGCCCTCTACCCATGAGGGAGGCAGCCACCAAGGTTGTCAGTCATCTGATTGAGAAACTGCCAGGGAGTGTTGGGGAAAAGCCACCTCCAGCAGATGTGCTGGTCAACATCATAGCAGTGCTCAACAACTTGGTGGTGGCCAGTCCCATCGCTGCTCGTGACCTCCTCTACTTTGACGGCCTCCGAAAGCTCATCTACATCAAGAAAAAGCGGGATGGGTCAGTACCAAGCCCTGACAACAGGTGGGGGGGGGGAGAAGCATCAGGAAGCAGGAAACATCAGATTCTCCTGTCCCTAGGCAGGGGTTCTCCTCCTTAGGCCTCCCTGCCAGCACCAACTAATGCTCTCCACTCCTCCCCAACAGACCTGATAGTGAAAAGTCCTCCCGAGCAGCCTCTAGCCTTTTGGCCAACATGTGGCAGTACAGCAAACTGCACCGGGATTTCCGGGCGGTAAGTGAGCATGGGCTGAGCATGCTGAACACTACTCAAGATGTAGGGTGGGGGCAGAAAGCAGAAAGCACCCGAGACCACGAGGGAACCTGGGAGAACAGGGCAGAGACAGATCCATTCTTTCTGACTCAACAGTGCTCTCCCATTAACTCCTTCCTCTCCGTGTTGCAGAAAGGCTATCGAAAGGAGGATTTCCTGGGTCCATAAACCATCTGAAGAGGAAGAGGTGTGGGGGAGAAGGGGACTGAGTGGACCCCTCCCCCACCGCTGCATGGGACTATCTTGGCTCAGCCCTGCCCTGGCCTCTTGGCCCCTGGCCCTGTCTCCTTGGATCTGCCTGGGTCTGGCCTCTTGGTCCCCACTGCCATTTTGGGTGGGGTGCTGAAGCAGGCTGACTGCTTACAGAATGGTTCAAGGGGGAGAGCTCACATTAAGTACATGTTCAAGACTCAGGGGAACTTTGGGGGCTTTGGGGTGAGCTTGGCTATCAAGATGGGGCAAAAGCCCCTGGCTTCTGGGTGTAGGGATGCTTGGGAATCCTTCGGTGTTTTAGGGGGGCTCCAATCTCTGGAGGCCACCACTGCTATGGCTCCAGTGTTCCCCAGGGACTCCTCAATGCTTGGCACAGGGGTACAGTCACAGCCTTGGAGGTCAGGGCCCGAGGCTGGCCTGGGAGGGGCTGGGGCTGGGGCTGGGACAATAAAAGAGGCACTGGTCTGGTGGGTGTGTGTTTGCATTTTCTGAGAGGAATCCAATGGAAGAAGCAGCTTTTGCTGGGACAGGCTGGGCTGGATGAGGCCCTCCCCAGGAGGCATGGGCCCTAGTGATTGCCAAAATGTCAGGGCTGTCACTATAGAATTCTGACTGTGGCTGGGGGTGGGGGCAGATTCTCTGGAAAGAAGAGACCTCAGCTTTAAGGATATGTGAAAGATGCAACACACACACACACACACACACACACACACAAAGGATGAATGAAGTTTTGGACACGCCATGGGACAACCCAGACCTCCATACCACCTGAGCCAAGCTCAATGCCAAATATGGGAATTGTCACTTTATTGGCAGAAAACAGAAACAGGATAAAGCCTGGGGCTCAAGGGCCCCAGACAGGAATGCCCTGGATCAGGCATTTAGGGTTAGGGTAATCCTAACCCTGTGTTCTGCATGGCCTGAGAGTCTCAGGAGATTAAGCAAAGAGCCACAGGGGCCTAGATTTCAACCTGGAAGAACCATTGGGGTCACGCAGTCCAATCTCTTGTTTTGTAGCACAAGAAACAAACAGGCCCAGAAAGGGGTATTGGCTTTTGATTTAAAGGAAGGAAGCACTCTTCTCTTTACTACGCCCCTCTGCCTCCCCAGTCCAAGGTTCTGTCCCCCCCAGTCCAGGGCCCTGCTCCCCAAGTCCAAGGCCCTGTCCCCCCCAGTCCAAGGCCCTGCTCCCCAGAGCAAGGACAGGCAGGAGGTCCTTGGCGGCCTACATGTCATCTTCAGTGACCAGGCAGTAAAAGTCAGTGCGGGCCCCATAGTTGCGGGATCCCAGGTCAGAGACATCGATCTCATTCCGTTGGGTTTCCCCACCAGAAGCCTTTAGGCTTGGCAGCTCAGGGATTGGGCTCATGCGTGGAGGGGGCAGGTCTTTAAAGATGGGTCCCCTTACACCTGTGGAGAGAGTCAGGGTCAAGGCAACTGCCCTACCTTCCCCAATCCCAACTCCAGGCCCCCAGGGCCAGACCTTCCATTCCCAATGGTTTTACCCTCACAACAAAGTGGAGGGAGGGATAGAAGGCACACAGGCTAGTGTTCTCAGGAAAGCAGGCAGAGACCCTGCAATGTGCTCATGTAGACAAGGGACCACCTGTGAGGTCATCCAAGCTGGGCCAATGTCACACCCATCCCCAGGACATCATGGGCTGGTCCCAGCTAAGACCCTGGAGCTCACCCTTGGGGGCCCCAGAGCCATGGTCCCAACCCAATTGGCCTCCCCAGGCCTTCTGTTGCTCCAGGTTGATGGCCCTAGGCCCCACCCAGGGGGCCCCCAGGGGCCATTTCTGCACCAAAGCCCCGCTGTGGGGCTCTTACCCAAGTCTCCTTCGGGGTCAGGGTCAGGGTCTGGGTCTGGACCAGGCCGGCCCTCCAAGAAGCCACCGTGGAGGGTCAACATGGGATCCTTGTCCTCCTGTAGCTGAGTCTGGGGGTCACTCACCAGGGCCCTGTAGTGTACCTTTCGCGGCAGGGCTAGACGCAGTTCCTTCCAAAAATCGGAGGAGGGCGTCTACAAGGCAACCGAGGGATGTTACTCAGATGCTGCTCAGGGGGTTCTGGGGTGGGGGTGGGGTACACCCTCTAGGTGGGTACAAATGTGAGATTTCTAGGCATTGACTATGAAAACCAGACTCATGGCACAAGAGTCCCCCTGGGTGTGAGGGTTACATACCCACCGTACACACTGTGCATTTACACCCATTGAATATGGCAACCAGTAAGAAACAGAGTCATCATTACCCTCAGTGGACCTCAGAGCCCCCTTCCTTTCCTGTCATGGTTTTCTTCATCCCTAAAGGACCATGGCACCCCTTTCCCCTTCTACCATAGAGCTCTTAGCCCCCAAATGATCACAGTGGCCTCCTCCCCTCCTACCACAGAGCCCCCTCACCCCCAAAGGACCATGGCACCCCCTTCCCCTCCTACTATGGAAGCCTTCACCGCAAAGGACTGTGGCACCCCCTTCCCTCCTACCACAGAGCCTGGCCTCCACAGCAGCAGGGTCACAACGTGTCGGTGCTGCCGAAGCAGGCGGAGAGCAGGATGTAAGGGATTTCGAGTCTGACCCTCAAATGTGATGAAGATTGGCCTTCGGGACAATTCAAGGAGCCTCCACAGGCCTTCCCTATACCAGCCAGAGTCAGGAGCAAGGACGAGATCCTGAGTTCCAGACCCAGAAAGCCCTGTGACCACCAACCTTCCCACACACATACACACACACACACACACACACTCACATACACACACATTCTCACACATACATATTCACACACACACACACACACACACACACACACACACACACACACACACACAGAGCTTTCCCCCTGTGGCACCTGAAATTGTGTCTGCACCAGGCCTGGCCCAGGAAGGCATCAGAGAGAACCACTATAAGACGCCGGCATCGGCTGAGATTCATGATCAGATCAGCGGAGGGCTCTGGAGGGGAGGACAGGGAAGGGGAGCCCATCAGGGAGGGGAAGCCCCTCTGGGCAGCTTTGGGATGAGGAAGCCAGTGAGGGCCGACAGCTGGGGCTCAGGATGTCAGAGGAGCCCATCAGAAAAGGCCACAGGTGCATGGAGAGGAATCTGCTGAGGCAGTGCTGCCCAGGGCGGCTGTACCTGAGTTGGGGAGGACATCTCTGTCATCCAGAAGAAGCTTGTAGCCATGTCGATTCTCCAGCTGTGGTTTCAAGATGAAGTTCACAAACTTCCTGTCTTCTGGAGAGCTCATGTAAGAGATGTAGGCATCATAGAGCTTCCCATCTAAGAATGAGAGGGAGGGAGGGAGGGATGAAGGAGGGGGGGAGGGAGGGAAGGAAGGAAAGAAGGAAGGAAGGAAGGAAGGAAGGAAGGAAGGAAGGAAGGAAGGAAGGAAGGAAGGAAGGAAGGAAGGAAGGAAGGAAGGAAGGAAGGAAGGAAGGAAGGAAGGAAGGAAGGAAGGAAGGAAGGAAGGAAGGGAGGGAGGGAGGAAGGAAGGAGAGAAGGGAGGAGGAGGGAAGGGAGGAAGGAAGGAGGGAAGGGAGGGAGGAAACAAGCACTTATTAAGTGCCTACTACATGCAAGGCTTTACATGCTACTACATGCTAAGTGCTTTACAAATATTATCTCATTTGATCCTTGGAGCAACTCTGAGAGGTGAGTGCTGTTATCGTCCCCACTTTACAAATGAGAAAACTGAGGAAGACAAAGGTGAAGTGGTTTGCCCAGAGCCACACAGTTAGTAAGAGTCTGAGGCTGGATTTGAACTCAGGTGTTCCTGACTCCATCTGCTGACCTGCCTCCCAGCAGAACATGGCAAGGGATCAGTAGCCTGGCCCTGGCGCTGTCTGTTTCTGGCACCCTGGCCCATGAGCACTGGTATCTGCTTTCTTTTTTCAGTAGTAGTCTAGCTCAAGATTTTCTAACTCTTAAAACATTTTTATTTAAAGTTTTGAGTTCCAAATTCCATCCCTCCCTGAGATGGTAAGCAATTGGATCTAGGTTATACATGTGCAATTATGTAAAACATTTCCATATTAGTCATTTTGTAGAAGATGACTCAAATAAAAGAAAAAAGAATGAAAGAAAGTGAAAAATAGCCTGCTTCAGTCCATACTCAATCAATATCTATTCTTTCTGTGGAGGCGGATAATACACTTCATCATTAGTCCTTTGGGATTGTCTTGGATCATTGCATTCCTGAGAAAAGCTAAGTCATTCACAATTCTTCATTGAACATTGCTGTTACTGTGTACATATTGTTACTGTGTATACACTGTTGTTCTGATTCTGTTCACTTCACTACGCATCAATTCATGTTAAGTCTTCCTAGGTTTCTCTGGAATTATCCTGCTTGTCATTTCTTACGCACAATAATATTCCATTACAATCATGAACTAGTTTGTTCAGCTGTTCCCCAACTGATGAGCATCCCCTCAATTTCCAATTCTTGCCACCACAAAAAGAGCTGCTATAAATATTTTTGTACAAATAGGTCTTTTTCCTCTTTATGTCTTTGGGATATAGACCTAACAATGGTAGAGCTGGATCAAAGAACAGTTTTATAGCCCTTTGGGCATAGTTCCAAATTGCTCTCGAGAATGGTTGGAGCAGTTCACAACTCCACCAGGAGTGCATTAGTGTTCCAGTTTTCCCCTATCCCCTCCAATATCTAACATTTTCCTTTTCTGTCATATTAGCCACTCTGATAGGGTGAGGTGGTACTTCAGAGTTGTTTTCATTTGCATTTCGATAATTAATGGTGATTTAGAACATTTTTTCAGAGGATTATAGATAGTTTTGATTTCTTTTTCTGAAAATTACCTGTTCATACTCTTTGACCCTTTACCAGTTGGGGAATGATTTGTATTTTTATCAATTTGCCCTAGTTCTCTATATATTTGAGAAATGAGACCTTTAACATAGACACTTGCTGCAATTCCTCCCCCCCCTCCAGTTTTCTGCTTTCCTTATAATTTGATTGCATTGGTTTTGTTTGTGCAAAACCCTTTTGCTTCTTTTTTTTCCTAAGGCAATTGGGGTTAAGTGACTTGCCCAGGGTCACACAGCTGGTAAGTGTCAAGCATTTGGTCTGAGGCCAAATTTGCGTGCAAGTCCTCCTGACTTTAGGGCCCATGCTCTATCTGCTGCACCACCTAGCTGCCCATGTGCAAAACCCTTCTAATTTTATTTTAACACAATTATCTACTTCACATTTTGTAATGCTCTCTATATCTTCTTTGGTCTTAAATTCTTCCCTTACCCATAAATCTGACAGATAAATTATTCCATGCTCTCTTAATCTGCTTATGGTATCACCCTTTATGCATAAATCATGTACCCACTTTGACCTTATCTTGGTATATGGTGTGAGATGTTGGCCAATACCTAGTTTTTGCCATACTGTTTTCCAGTTTTCCCAGAGTTTTTGTTCCAAAAGCTTGGATCTTTGGCTTTATTACATACTAGATTGCTA